TCCTCAACAGATTAAAAAAAAAAAGCATTCATAAAATTTAAAACTCAGTTATCATAAAAACTCTTAGCAATCCAGGACTAGAAGGGGACTCGTTAAGCTTTTTTAAAGAAAACTACCAAAATCTTATAGCAGGTGTGATATTTTGGGAAAATTTTAGAAACATTCCCAATAAAATCAGGAACACTATAATGGTGACTACTATGTATCACTGGTTTTATTCAAGAGGTCTTAGCCATTGCACTTCAACAAGAAAAGGAAAGAAGTATAAAAATGGCAAAGGTAGAGCAAAGCTCTCATCATTCACAGATAATTGGTCTTTTTCTGAGAAAACTTAAAAGATGCATTGGAAACTATTAGAACTAAAAAGAGTTTATCAAGATTTCTAGGTAGAACTTATGAAAATCAATGAAATTTTTTAATACACAATAAATCACAAACCACAATTTAAAATGCTTCTGAAAATATCAATAAAATTTTAAAATAAGAATAGTTAATAAAAATGTACAAGATCAGAAAAAGACAAATACCATATGATTTCACTCATCTGTGGAGTTTAAGAAACAAAGCAATGATCATAGGGGAAAAAAAGAGAGAGACAAACCAAGAAAAAGACTCTCAACCATAGAGAACAAAGGGATGGTTACCAAAGGGGAGGTGGGTGGAGGGATGGGTGAATGGGTGATGGGGATTAAGGAGTGCACCTGTGATGAGCACTGGGTACTGTAAGTCTTGAGTCTTACTAAACTGTACACCTAAAACTAAAAAAAAAGTACAAGATCTTCATGGACACTGATATACAAGTTTACTAAAAAATGTAAGATCTCAGTAAATGGAGTGATGTAATATATTCACTGTACTAGAACTTTCTGATGAACTTTGAAACATGTCCAAAGAGATCTCATCCAGCTTCTAGGCAAACATTTCCAGCCTCATGATAACGCATCTAAAAAAATGGACAACAGTTTTAAAAGCTCACAGGATCTGTAACCAGTTAGTTGTCTCACATTATTTGAAGTTAAAGGATATAATTTAATTTGATTGCTCATTTCTTAAAAACCTCTTATGCTATGATCTCCACTGGCCAGATCCTCCTGCCACCTACTAAAGAATTCTTAAAGTCAGATATGAAATACAAATTTACATCTCCATATATGAAATTTACATCAGCTTCAAGGAAATAAGTTTTCCATTACCTTTTAGGAATGGACTGTGCAGACAGAAAGTTAAATAAACTTAACTCAGGATTGCTTATACTGTCTTTGTGCTACCTTGACCCCTCCACCCTCTTTACTATCACCTGAATTATACCTTTACTTGGTCATAAACTCATCTGTTTAAAGGGACACCAACTGTCATACAAAACAAAATTCTAAATAGATCCATTCTGCCACTTGTTTGCAGGTCTAGGAAAAGGAAGTGGAAGAAACATTACTAACAAAACTGAGCAGAAACAGTTGGAGAAAAATATAGACATTTGTTTCATTTAGAATCTTTGCTCTTCCCAATGTACATCGAACATATTTAGATACAATTAATCATGTGCTATGCCAGACATGCCTGGCTACCTAGTAAACAGTCATTTCTCCCTTCTCTACTACTAAGAAAAGCCTGATGCTTTCTCAGGTATTGGGTGATCAGGCAATTTAAGAGATGAAAGATTCATCTTCATTTGTCTATGCTAATGATTCCATTCATTTTGCCAGTCATTTTTGGAACAGACCCGTGACAGACAACTGTGAAGGGAAATCTGCTTAGGGCCCTTCTAGGGCATTCCCTATTCCCACCTCCAGGTGCCATGAAGTACAACGGCTATCTTGTAACAAGGTAAAGTCAGTTTAAGAACAGCAACATTCTGAGGATGGCAGGGCAGAAGGATGTGATGAATTCCTGATGACCTCTTTAAACCAGTGAATTACCAAACCCAGAAATGATTTTATCTCTAGGCTACTTCTTAAGTGAGAAAATTATTTCCTTTAGCACTTAAGCCATTTTGAGTTTGGTTGTCCTGTTTCTTGCAGTAAAAAAACATTCAAAGTGATTCAGTGCCAAGGACAGCAGGCTAAATGGGCACATATTATTGAAACAACTTACAGCCATTCCCCATGCCTAATCTAAATGTAAACGATTTATACTTTTTAAAGGAAGGTGTGAAGTTCCTGAAGTAGTTTCACTAACATAGGAGGACAAGGTGACATGCTATTTGGAGATCTGGCTAGAAAAAATATTTTCTCTTTTGCTCATGGGAAGATGTAGCCTTTTACTCCTCTATATTTACTCCTCTATGTTTTGTGGCCCTATCACTTCTCTCTTTCTCCATCTCTAGAAAGTACTTAACAATACTCTTTAGATTAGCCACTGGCAAAGTCTACCTTGGTGTTAACTTTAGGGAATCAATATGATTTAGACATAACTTTTTTTTTCTCTCAAAGAAAACAGGATTTTGAAACTGCCTTTCTTTGGTGGAGTCCTAAATCCTGAATAAGGCCTGACAGAGGGCATGATGGAACTCACAAATATTTTCCTGATTAATAAATATGCGATTCCAAAGCTGAGCTTTAAATTCTGGTGGAATCTAAGTAATATGTACAAAAACAGACTCAAAGCGCTTCAAGCACGGCTTACAAAAACCAACATCATGGTACATCTATCCGTTGAGTTCAGAGACTGACAAATTAATGACGATTTTTTTTTTCTCCTGATTTATGAGAGTTACCCTGGGACCTATGTTTCTGTGTAAAACAAATGCAGCACTTATTAATAATGTAAGCAGCTCTAGGGCCCTTTCACCATGGCAGTGAAGCTCTTGTCTAAAACCAGAACTGTTTCCTTTACACTGTAATGGATTAGATTTGTTTAACTTACTTATATAGTGCTCAATGCAGTTCTACCGGCATATGGACGCTTAATGAATATTTGATGGTGACTATGACTGCACATATCTTGGTGTCCACAGGAAAATGATAAAACATTCTAAGCTCTACTACTCTAGTAAATTTATATATACGTATATATCCATCCATACATACAAATTATAAAGTAACAAAAGAGGAGTCATGCCTTTCCGTATTAGTACACTGTTTTAAGAAAACCGGAAATAAAAGGTAGAGGAATTAATATCTATTATCTAATATGTGCTAACAATTTATATAACATTTTACTTAATCCTAGCCACAATCCTATGGATTGGGTATTGGATCTCACTTCCTAAATCTAAGATGTCATCACTGTGTGATGAACAAATATTTTACATATCAATAGGAAAAATTCAGCCAATGAAATTATGATGTCATTTGTAAGACATACCCTGATTTTAAAGAAGCCAAAATGTAACAATAACATGCATCTCAAAAATAATAATAAAACAGGATAGCGATCAGAAAATCACTCAAGTCATATAGCCAGTTAACAGCTGTGGTCAAGAAGCCAGCTGTCCGCCAAAGATTCATGTTCTCCTTCCATAGTGTGGCGTTCCGGTGGAGAAATGGCTGTCCAGTCAGAAACGACATTTTCCACTTTCCTGAGTCCTGACCAACAGAATGTGGCATACTTGATGTTGTCACTTCCAGGCCAAAGTGGTAAAGAAGCACAAATACTTTCTCCATCCTTGCTCTTAAACTATTATTTATGTTAATGCCCAGGATGATCTTAGAAACTACCTGTTGAATATGGCAAAGCTTCTGTGTCAGCCTGAGTCCCTGACTGACTGCAAAGGACAGAGGTCCCCCCCACAACCCATCTTGCCATCTTGCCAAACAGGGATGCCACATCTGACTTGACATGAGCAATAAGTAAACTTTTATTGTGTTAAGCCACTATAGTTCAGTTTGTTTTATCAACTAGAATTACTCCAAATAATTGGAGTGGCAGAGTTAGAATTTGAATGCCAAGTTCCAATGCCTGGGTTTACTCTGTGATACCATGCAAATACAGACCTCTAAACTTATCCCTTCCAAAATAAACAAACAAAACAAAACAGGCACGACTGCTTCATTTTAAGCAGATTTCATCAGCTGGTTTGAAAGAATGGGCAGAAATCAATGGATTTAGGAATGACGTATTTCAGAGAAAAAGTCCAGAGAGGGACAATTAAAGTTGTGTGTATATAATAGCACAGAGGTGAGAACAAACAAACAAAACAAAGAATGAGGGAGTTATTTTCAAAGTGGGAAACAGTGACACATGTATGCTCTCTCCTTTTTGTCCTGTTTCAGCTTAATACAGTTTCAGTTCAGGTAAAGAAGATCCAGGCATTTGTTATAACCCTAGCCTACTAAATGGTTTACTATCGCAAGATAAAAATAGTCTTGTCACTTAGAAGAGCTTGAAGAAAAGGAAAGGGATGAAGGAGAAGCTTAACTGGTAATGGATAAAAAGGAAGGGAAGTGACGGAAAATGGGAGAGGTGACTAGCGTGGGTTCTTGATTCAAGACAAGAATCGCGAACCACGGCTTCACTATTTCTCATCCTAGAGTTGGTTACCTTGGACAATCATTTACCCCCAGGGTCAGTTCTGTCATCTACAATGCAATGATAATAGAATGCACCTCACAGGTTATTATGAAAAGAAAGTGAGACAATGCACGCACGAGGCTCATACCATCCGTCAGAGCACCCTGAATGCCAGTTGTTACTATACTTGCTGTCATTATTAATCATTAGTTTCCTCTCCCACCTTGTAGCAAATAGCCAAGTATGCTTTTAATGTAAATCTCTTCTACAGATAGAAAGTACAATTCCTTGGAAGAAAGTCTGCCTTCAGCTGTGAAACCCACTGAGGTTAAGCACCTGAGGGAGTTTCTGCTTCAAATTAAAAGAAAAAAAAAATTTGTTAACATGCCTTGAGGGAATGATGAGCAGAGAAAATATGAAGGCATGTTTGGTACATGGTATCGCAAACACCAGTTTCACTTTATTGCTTACATAAAAATAGCACTTTGTTTTTTTTTCACTTCACAGTATAATAAGAAATGAAAAGGAGAATAGCACACACAAAATCTTACCCTTTGTTTTTCATTTGAACCCTTTTTATTGTTTTCTTTTCTACTTTCATCTTCATATACTAGAACGAAGTCGATTCTTCGCTGACCATCATTAAAAAAGAGGGAGTCGAGTTGTCCATTAAATTCTTCCTGTGGGGAAAACAAATTTTAATGTAATTTTTAAGTGTCCATTTATAAGTGTTTATTTTCTAGTTTTAATAGGTACATCGGTGTGTTTATAAGGAAAAAAAATCCATTGCTAGTTACTTAACTAAGAGGTCACAGTCACCACGATCTTTGCAAGCAGAGCATGTTCTTGGTGAAAGAAGTCCTTGAATTGAGCAGTTTAGGATTATTCTACAAACACATGGGAATATATCAGTATTTTGTATGTAAACACAATCATCTCAGAATTATTCCCTCCTTGAACAGCAAAGGAGTATCACTTTGTAAATAAACATGGTAACCAGAGGTGCCTATCTGAAGGCGTGAAGTTTAGTTTCTTCTTCATCTAGGAAGAAGAAAAATCGAAGACGAAGCACTGTTTATGAAAATCTCATCCTTCCTAAGTCATATTTTCTAAACTTTTCATCATTTTTCAAGACCTCTCTGGACCTCACCACTTTACAGAAGACACCACTTTAGAACATTAAACATATACCAGATGATGCTTCAATAAACACAAAAGCTACAATGGTTGTCGGTATCTGTTCCCAAATCCACAAAAGATAGCCCTTCACTTCTAGCAAATAAAACAATAAACAAATGACCCCAGCAACAACAATAAATGAGCCTTTAGTTTAGAGCTTGAAAGCCTTATGGCTTAAAAATAAAGAAATAATGTCACATCACAGACCTAAGAGTTTAAACAATATTACCATGTGGATTTGGAAAGAATTGTTTTAATTTGCTCTAAGCAAAGACAGGTTTGTGTTTCTTGCACAGCTTGTGGGGATGCTGATGTGAATTTTGTTGCTGTTTAAGAATCAGACTACTTTTTAACTGATAAGTAGTATTTTTAAATTTTTAACTTCTTTTTTCATTAAAAACTCATGGGGATGTTGCATTCTGTAGTCATTTGGTAGAACCACTTAATCACTAAATGCGATTAATTCTTCTCTGTACTTTAGCATCAATTCATACAAAAATCACCTAATTTTACCACCATCCCTTCTTCCTTTTCTTCACACTTTTGAAAAGATCGATCTTTTGGTGAATGTATACAACCTGATACTTGTCATTCCTTTCTTTTCCACCAGGGAACCGGTGAAGTTTCTTGCTAGCAGTCAAACCGCCTCCCATTTAGCAGGTTACTTCACCTGTGGAGTGCATGCTGCCGGTGTAACCTAACTCAACACACCTTCATGCCAGTCGCATTTAACCAGGGATTCTAACCACAGACTGTGACTTCCCTAGCCGGAGCACCGAGAAGCCAGGACAACAGACACATCCGTGGCTCAGGCTGGTGCACTACTCAGTTCTTTTATTTACAGTTTCAGCTACTGAACACCCCTCAGCTTTAAAAAGTGTTTAAAGCTATACAAAATTTCACACAAAATTTCACTTTGGGCTCCTTCCGTTTCTCTTCCTTTCAATGAAGATGTTACTATTGGACAGCAAGGGCGGCTGCTAGAGGAAAATTCTGTGTAGAGGGGGAGAAAAAAAAAGAATAATTTCTTCAGAATGGCAAAGGGGAGGTGGGGTGGGGTGGAACAGAGTCACAAAAATCTGGTCATCATTACAGACGTCTGAAAAGCTTTGTACAAAAGCCACTTGTTCTCTGTAGCCCACGTTCTGTTGCCCTTGGTGGCATCCAGCCGGACTCGTGAAGTGAAGGTCTGGAGAATGAGGCCTGGAACGAGCACCACATCTGCACATGGCTCCAGGCACTCTCCTGCGCACAGCCTTTGCTCGGCCGCATGGGCTGGCAGGCAGCTCCCATGTAATCTGGTCTGCACACACGTCTTTCATGTGTGACAGAAGACCATGGCCTCACTGGAGGAAAGCCTCACTGACTTGGCATCAGCTGTCTGTATGAAATAACTAGGTCAGACTCTGGTATGGTATTATTGGAATGCAATGCCAGGGAATAGAAGGCCAGTTTTCTGCTGTTATGAAATCCAGGTTTCCCATCTCTTGGCAGAAGACTTCCTACTAGGCAATTGGGAAGAAGGGGGAAACTCAATGCGGGAAAAGAATAAGTAGTGCTCGCTTCGGCAGCACACATACTAAAACTGGAAAGAATAAGTAACAAGAAATCTGGCCTAAATTTAAAAAGACTGATGTATGAACAAAACTGTATTTTTTTTAAAGGCTGGATTTTTTCAGTAATAATTCTACTACAGGCCTAACTCACCCAACAGGCACTGAAGTAACAGAGAATTAAAAAGTAATTCCTCTCCTAAAGTTTTGCTTTAATGAAGTAAAATTTTAATAATCTCTCAGGATAAATACGGATGGAACCTCTTTAAAAACAACTTGATTGAGGGGCGCCTGGGTGGCTCAGTTGTTAAGCGTCTGCCTTCGGCTCAGGTCATGATCCCAGGGTCCTGGGATCGAGCCCCGCATTGGGCTCCCTGCTCAGCGGGAAGCCTGCTTCTCCCTCTCCCACTCCCCCTGCTTGTGTTCCCGCTCTCGCTGTGTCTCTCTCTGTCAAATAAATAAATAAAATCTTAAAAAAAATATGAGTAACACAGGAAACAACAGATGTTGGCGGGGATGCGGAGAAAGGGGAACACTCTTACACTGTTGGTGGGAATGCAAGCTGGTGCAGCCGCTCTGGAAAACAGTATGGAGGTTCCTCAAAAAATCAAAAATAGAACTACCCTAGGATCCACCAACTGCACTACTAGGTATTTACCCAAAGGATACAAAAACACATCCAATGCCCTCACTGGTCCCAAGGATACTAGATCCCACCAATCTAACATTCATTTACGCATTGGTGGCCACCTGACCTAATGTGGTACTTTAAGTTAAAGGCTGCAGGGGTTAAAAAAAACAAAAACAAAAACAAAAAAACCCATGCTCATTCGTCGTTATATCAAGACCCGTGCTGCCAACCACTGTGGAATAGTGACTTGACCACCTCTGTCTTTGGCTGCTACCTCTGACATTTCACACTTGGAATACAGAGGAGACACGCTGGTCTGAGCAGTAAGAGCTTGGCTGAGGAGAACAGGACAGGGAATAAGAAAGAAGGTCAGGTGTGAATCATGCAAATGATGTTATCCAGGCCTCCCTCCTCTCAGCCGGCTTCTTTCCCTCTTTTATTTGTGGGGCGGCTCCTTCAACAAAAAGCCCCAGAGGGCAGGATTCGCCTCCACCAAATCAGGATAAAAAATGCAAGCAGCAAAATACTGTGCCCAGTGCTTTTAAGCTAGAGTTGTGAATTTAAGAACTTGAAAATTTTTTGCTATTGGCTAAAGACATACGGGTGGGTACCAGTCCCATCCCTGGGTCCGGATGAGACCTCTGTACTTACTATAGGACAAGAGACTGAGAAAGAATGTCCTAGTGGGCAGAAAGACAAGTCCCAAGATGAGCACTTTCCGGTAATTACTTGGTAGGAAAATTTCTCATAAGCAATCTCTGGCTGAAATAAGGCCTTAGACTTTTTTTTTTTTAAGATTTTATTTATTTATTTGACAGAGAGAGAGAGAAACAGCAAGAGAGGGAACACAAGCAGGGGGAGGGGGAGAGAGAGAAGCAGGCCTCCCGCTGAGCAGGGGAGTCCAATGAGGGGCTCGATCCCAGGACCCTGGGATTATGACTTGAGCCGAAGGCAGACGCTTAACGACGGAGCCACGCAGGCTCCCCTAAGGACTTACACTTCTTGACTAGGATGCTTCAGGTATATGAAGGGTCATATGATGGTGAGGTCTGTCTTCTAGGTGGAGAAAGAAGGGCTGGGATAAGAGAGGACCTGGGAAACCACTGTGTGAGTGGCCCCATCTTTACTAAGCAGCCTCCTGGAATCCCCAATATCAGCACTTGGCAAGATCATGAAATAACTTGCTGCTGAACATTTGTCCAATCTCATTCTTCTCAAGCGTCCACAAATCGGGTCCTCAAATAACCCGGCAAAAACAAGATTGGAAGTCCCATTCCACAACAGAGGCATCTATTCCTAGAGCTTAAAATGCTGAATTTATTTGTCCAAGATCTGCATAAAAAAGCAGTCCAACTGGGATTTTTGCTCAAACTTTTATGTGTAGGGTGTTTGAAACTTGCCCTGGACAGCAAGTGATATCTGATTGTATCTCCAGAACTTTCAAATGGTCTATTCCTAATATGGCTGTAATTTACTATGATATTGGAGAGGGGTCCAAGCTTATTTGGGTAATGGTCTCGTCCTTTATACGAGGCAGCATGCAAGAAAGGTGTAATGCCTAACAGTAATAGTTGAGGAATTACATTATGAAAAATAAACAGAATCAAAACATGCACACAATTAAAGAGCAACTGATATGTGAATGTGGAAAAAATGTGACACTCTGCAGTCTTTCAGACCAGTAAAACAAAGCTAATTAATTCCAAGGACACAATAGAAAAAAAGCAAACTTTAATCATAGAACTAAAGTGAAAATATTGAATCTTCTATTTTTCAGTAAACCCTGAATCCATGCACAGAGCAAGCTCTAGGGAAACCAAAGTTTAGAAGCAAAAGCCTTTATGTAAATATTTAGATCTCACAAAATACGGAGCACAATGAAATTTTATTCACATGCCATACAGTTATGAGATATATTCTGAAGTGTTTTCCCTAACTGTAAGAGAATTCAGGGAGATTCAAAGCATAAGTAATAGTGGAATTTCTTTGCTTTACACAATTGTGTAGAGAGAAAAGTGACCAGGACAAATTCTTTCGGTCCCCTCCTCAGCCTGTAAAAACAAGTAATAGTGAGAAAATGCAAAGTAGCAAGAAAAATGCCAAGCACTGCCAGTATGGAAGGCTTGACGCTGAAGGTGGAAAGACTGGTATTGTGGAAAGCAGGGTAGAAGAAGAGGAAGTAACCTGTTAGTTAACAGGGATAAGGAGAAATATGTGGACACACAAGGGAGCCAAACAAGAAGTCAGCTCAGTAACTGGTGTCTTGGAGGGAATGAGCGAGCATGTTTTTGACTGGACTCAGGCATTCAGGAATGTTGATGGGAAGGAAGTCGGTGGAATGAAGGCCCGTTCCAGGAGGAAGGTGTATCCAGAAGCTAGGACTCTGGTTTGTTTTAGAGTCAAGCATGTCAGGATATTCCACAAAGATCCCTTGATGGTGATGCTATAATGATCAAGGTGTACTTAAGAGTGACCCAGAATATTTGTACAAATCAGTCTCCTTTCCCACTCTGTTAACCACACTATTAACTTCTGAAGGCCAGTGGCCATGTCTTGGTCACTCTGAGCTCTCTGCTGAGCCTTGCATGTAGCACGAGCTCTGTTTACCTTTTTCTTAGGAAAAAAAAAAATCACCTTTTTCCCCCTGATGATAAAAGTAATATATACTCAATACAAAAAAATTCTGAAGATACGGAAAAGTAAAAAGGAATAAATAAAAGTCATATGTAATCCCACATCCCAGAGCTGAGCTGAATTTAATATTTTGGAGTATAACCTTTCAGGTTTTCACACTAACCAAAGTGGTACCATACCCTACATACTGTTTCATAAACATCTATCATAGACATTTTTCTAGCTTTATATAAAGCTCTGTGTCATGTTTAATCACAATATAAACATTTCCTCTGCTGATGAACACATAAATTGTTTCCAATTTGCTGCTTTTATAAACACTGATGCAATGAGCATCCTTGTACATATGTATCTGTGCACATGTTCAATTACTATTTCCTTAGGCTAAATTCTAGAAGCAGATTTTAAGTGGCGTAGACTTTTCAGGAGCTTTTGACATGTAAGTTGCTAAACTGTCATCTGTAATATTTATAATAAATGAATACTTGCACCAGCAGAGTATGAAAATGCCTTTTCCCACCCTCACTAGATTTCAGTTATTTTCACTTTGCCCGTGATAGTCAAAATATCTTTTTTTTATTTGCACTTTTTAATTAGAGAGTGCCAACATTTTTATGGGTACTGCCCAACTGAATTACTGCTTTTGTAAAATGCCAATTATTATTCTTGACCTAACTGAACTATATTATTATTTAATCCCCATTCAGTAGATTCTCTTGGGTTTTACTGATGAGATCCTAAAGACAATGCAGGCAAATGGGGCAAGTGGGTAAATGGCAATATAGAAGGCGCCCATAAAATTACCAGCTAAGTCCCAAAAAGAAAAGGAAGAAATATTTTAGGGTACCATCCATCAGTCCTGGGTTCAACAATGTTGACATGTTTTCTGAAATTCAGACATTGAACTGTAATGTGCGATAAAAGTTTTAGAGATCCTTGCCCCAAGATGACATATCTTCCGTTATAGTTTATATGCCACCTGTGTATATAACTACCAAATATCATTTATATATTTTGACTCAAAAATTTCCGAAAAAAATTTAGAACTTAATACTTATCTAGTTCATAAGTGATTTTGGGCTGCAGGTTAAAAATTGATGTACAAATTCCTAAAAAACGATCTTGCTATTTTATGTTGGTAAATGGCTATAACTAGTTCTCGCAAATAGCTGAACTGATGGGTTTTAGCCATTTCTCAACAGGGATAGATACAGTTGACTTATAAATTATCAGTAGATTAAAATGCTGCTCCTGCTTCTGTTTTTTTGGTTTATACACACACGGGAACAAACATTCACATGCCAACAGCTTGCTGATTGGGTCTATGCATTTTGCCTTTGTTTCCTTTTGCTCGTGTTAAAATAAACTCTGGAGTTCTACTATTAGAACATCACATTTCAGATGCTGGGTGAGTATAAAGGCATAATGCCTTAAGCATAATTACTGTTAAATATTCCCCTCCAGCCCATGCCAAGGAAACAGTAGTTTTATCAAATGAAGTTCT